CCCGAATACGTGGGACAATAAAATTTTAATCGATTACGAGTCGAATAAAATTTCCGCTGTGAAATTTAACTTAAAAAAGGGTGTAGTATCTAGGCATCAGAGAGGACTTAATATTAGTGCAGAACACTGTACCATTTAATTTAAATGCCCTTGGAGTCTGCTGGGGAAGATGAAAATAATACTGTCCTGTCAGTAATGACATGCAGAATGAAATAAACGGGGTTTTTTTGGGAGTGCCGTCGATCTTAGAATCACTGCACACACTTCACTCCTTTGGCCAGTCACGGTGCCAAAACCAGTGTTTAGAGCCACAGTGTGGCGGTGGAGGCAAGCAGCAATGGGAGGCCATACAGCAACCTATGACAAAATGGAAACCAGGCAGGAGCGTGAGGAGACCTGACAGTGGCACATGGCCAAGATGGGAGCAATGGGAGGCGGGTACAGGGACCCAGGTCACACACACTGTGTGGCCCAGCAAGCAGCGTGACCAGGCGCGTACGGGGGCCCATGGCCGATAATGGGGCTTGGTGTGCACCTATGGAAGGGCCTGTAATCTGCCAGCAACCTATGACAAAATGGACATCCGCAGGAGTGGTGAGAGAATTTTTCAAAGTGGCACATGGCAGAGTGGAAGCAATGGGAGGCCGTACTAGGGACCCAGGTCCACACTGTGGGACCCATCGATCAGCGGTGAACAGGCGGTACGGGGGCCCCATGGCCGATTTGACCTTCATTCAGCCCCATAGTCCTCTGCCAGACTCACGAATGAAGCGTGTGCCATTCCTCAAAGGGCCCTGAGCAAGCGCAGGTGGTCACACATGAGCTGACAATGGCTGACATCTAAGTTAACACAGGTAGTAACCTTTATCCCGCTTTTAAACATCAGGAAATCTGTGACGTGGCCTTTAAGCTGTTCGTAAAGGCGGTCTATCTACCATATGTAGTGGTTGAATTACACCTTGATGCAACGTCACACAGCGATGAGGAGTCGGTAACGGTGGTGGCCCGGCCCATGTCAGAATTACATGTCCCTGTCCAGCATGCAATGGGAGGCACGAAAATCTGCCAGCAACCCTATGTCCAAAAAAATTTAAACACACCAGTCATGTGTGAAGAGACCTGAAAGTGGCACATGGCAGCAGAGTGTGGCCGATGGAGACAGCACAATGGGTAGGCCGTACAGGGACCCATGAGAGACCGGGACTTTGGCAGCAGCAATGGAGAGGCGGAATTATAGGGGCCCATTGCAGATTAGGGGCCCTGGCAGCAGCTATGTGAGGCCCGTAATCTGCCTGCGACCCTATGTCAAAAAATAAACACACCAGCAGTGTGAAGAGACCTGAAAGTGGCACATGGCAGAGAGTGGCGATGAGAGACAGCAGCAATGGAGAGGGCCGTACAGTGACCCATGACAGACTCTACGACTTGTGCAGCAGCATAGAGGATGCGTATATAGTGGCCCATGGCAGATTAGGGGCCTGGCAGCAGCTATGTGAGGCCCGTAATCTGCCTGCACCCTATGTCAAAAATTTAACACACCAGCATGTGAAGAGACCTTAAAGTGGCACATGGCAGCAGAGTGTGGCGATGGAGACAGAGCAGCAATGGAGGCCGTACGAAAAAGGGACCCTATGAGACTCCTTGGACTTGGCAGCAGCATGAGTAGCGGTATATTAGGGGCCCATTGCAGATTAGGGGCCTGGCAGCAGCTATGTGAGGCCCGTAATCTGCCTGCACCCTAATGTTCAAAAAATTTAACACACCAGGCAGTGTGAAGAGACCTGAAAGTGGCACATGGCAGCAGAGTGTGTGGCGATGGAGACAGCAGCAATGGGAGGCCCGTACAGTGGACCCATGACAGACTCTAGACTTGGCAGCAGCATGAAGGGCGGTATATAGGCCCATGCAGCATTAGGGGCTGCGCAGCAGCTATGTGGAGGCCCGTAATCTGCCCTGGCACCCTAATGTCAAAAAAGTTTTAACACACCAGCAGTGTGAAGAGACCTGAAAGTGGCACATGGCAGCAGAGTGTGGCGATGGAGACAGCAGCAATGGGCCAGGCCGTACAGGGACCACATGAGAGACGATTCTGGGGACTGGCAGCAGCATGAGGAGGGCGGTATAAAGGGGCACCATGGCAGATTAGGGGCCTGGCAGCAGCTATGTGAGGCCCGAAATCTGCCAGCACCCTATGTCAAAAAATTAACACACCAGCATTGTGAAGAGACCTGAAAGTGGCACATGGAGCAAGAGTGTGGCGATGGAGACAGCAGCAATGGGAGGCCGTACAAGCTGGACCCATGACAGATCTCTAGACTTGGCAGCACAGCATGAGGCGCGGTATATAGGCGGCGCCCATGGGCAGATTAGGGGCCTGGCAGCAGCTATGTGAGTGCCCGTATAACTGCCTGCACCCTATGGGTCCAAAAAATTTAACACAACCAGCAGTGTGAAGAGACCTGAAAGTTGGCACATGGCAGCAGAGTGTGGGGCGATGGAGACAGCAGCAATGGGAGGCCGTACATGGGACCCATGAGAAGACTCCTGCTGACTTGGCAGCAGCATGAGGAAGGCGTAATATAGGGCCCATGGCAGATTAGGGCCTGGCTGCAGCTCAGCTATGTGAGGCCCGTAATCTGCCTGCACCCTAAATGTCCAAAAAATTTAACGAACAACACCAGCAGTGTGAAGAGTAACCTGAATAGTGGCACATTGCAGCAGAGTGTGGCGATGGAGTCCAGCAGCAATGGGAGGCCGATACAGGGACCCATGACAGACTCCTAGGACTTGGCAGCAGCATGAAGGAGGCGTATATAGGGGGGCCCATGGCCAGATTAGGGGCCTGGCAGCAGCTATGTGAGGACATCACAGACTCCGTAATCTGCCTGCACCCTATGTGGTCATAAAAAATGTTAACACACCAGCATGTGAAGAGACCTGAAAGTGGCACAATGGCAGCAGAATTGTGTGCGATGGAGACAGCAGCAATGGGAGGCCGTACAGGGGACCCATGAGAACTCAGGACTTGGCAGCAGAGCATGAGGAGGCGAGTATAAATTATTTGGTAGGGCCCATGGCAGGAATTAGTGGGCCTGGCAGCAGCTATGTGAGGCCCGTAATCTGCCTGCACCCTATGTCAAAACTAAATTTACAGACAACACACCACAGTGTGAAGAGACCTGAAAGTGGCACATGCATTGCAGAGTGTGGCGATGGAGACAGCAGCAATGGGAAGCCGTACAGGGACCCATGACAGACTCTAGACTTGGCAGCAGCATGAGAGGCGGTATATAGGGCCCCATGGCAATTAGAGCCGGGCCTGGCAGCACTATGTGGAGGCCCGTAATCTGCCTGCACCCTATGTCAATAAAATTTAACACACCAGCAGTGTGAAGAAGACCTGAAAAAGTGGCACAGCTGGCAGAGTGTGGCGATCGGAGACAGCAGCAATGGGAGGCCGTACAGGGACCCATGAGAACTCTGGACTTGGCAGCAGCATGAGAGGCGGTATTATAGGGGCCCATGGCAGATTAGGGCCTGGCAGCAGCTATGTTAGTGAGGCCCATAAGGAAATCTGCCTCACCCTATGGTCAAAAAAAATTGTAACACAACGCACTCCACAGTGTGAAGAGACCTGAAAGTGGCACATGGCAGCAGAGTGTGGCGCGATGAGGAGACAGCAGTCAATGGGAGAGGGAGGCCGTACAGGGACCCATGACAGACTCTAGACTTTTGGCAGCAGCATGAGGAGGCGGTATATAGGGGCCCATGGCAGATTAGGGGGCCTGGCAGCAGCTATGTGAGGCCCGTAATTCTGCCTGCACCCTATGCTCCAGAAAAAAAAATTAAAAACACACCAGCAGTGTGAAGAGACCTGAAAAGTGGGCACAATGGCAGCAGAGTGTGGCGATGGAGACAGCAGCAATTGGGAAGGGCAGTACAGGGACCCATGAGAGACTCTAGACTTGGCAGCAGCATGAGAGGGGCGGTATAATAGGGGCCCATGGCAGATTAGGGGCCTGGCACTCTAGCTGTAGGAGGCCCGTAATCTGCCTGCACCCTATGTCAAAAAATTAAACACACCACAGTGTGAAGAGACCTGAAAGATGGCACATGGCAGCAGAGGTGTGGCGATGGAGACAGCAGCAATGGGATAATGGGTCCGTAACAGGGACCCCATGAGACTATCTCGGGAACTCTAGACATGGCAATCAGCATGAGGAGGCGGTATATAGGGGCCCATGGCAGATTAGGGGCCTGCAACGGGCAGCAGCTATGTGAGGCCCGTAATCTGCCCTGCACCCTATGTCAAAAAATTTAACACACCCAGCATGTGAAGAGACCTGAAAGTGGCACATGGCAGCAAGAGTGTGGCGATGGAGACAGAGCAAGCAATGGGAGGCCGTACAGGGAACCCATGGACAAGAGACTCTAAGACTTGGTCAGCAGCACATGAGAGGTCGGGCGGTATATAGGGCCCATGGCAGATTAGGGGCCTGGCAGCAGCTATGTGAGGCCCTAATCTGCCTGCACCCTATGTCAAAAAATTTTAACACACCAACAGTGTGAAGCAGACCTGAAGTGCACATGGCAGCAGAGTGTGGGCATGGAGACCAGCAGCAAATGGGAGGCCGATACAGGGACCCATGACATTGCCTACAGACTCTAGACTTGGCAGCACCTGCAGCACAGGAGGCGGTAAATAGGGGCCCATGGCAGAATTAGGGGCCTGGCAGCCGCATGTGAGGCCGTAAATCTGCTGCCACCCCTATGTCAAAAAATTTAACTCACACCAGCACTTGGAGCAGACCTGAAAGTGGCACATGGCAGCAGAGTGTGGCGATGGAGAACAGCAGCAATGGAGGCCGTACAGGGCCCCATGACAGACTCTAGCGGACCTTGGCAAGCAGCATGATGAGGCGGTATATAGGGGCCCATGGCAGATTATGGCCTGGCAGTCAGGCTATGTGAGGCCCGGTAATCTGCCTGCACCCTAGAATGTCAAAAAATTTAAAACACACCAGCAGTGTGAAGAGACCTGAAAGTGGCACATGGCAAGTCAGAGTGTGGCGATGGGAGACCAGCCAGCATGGGAGGCCGTAGCAGGGACCCATGAGAGACTCTAGACTTGGCACAGCAGAGGAGGCTGTCATATAGGTTGCCCATGGCAGATTAGGCAGCTGCAAGCAGCTAAGTACGGCCCGTACTCTGCCTGCACCCTATGTCAAAAGATTTAACACACCAGCTGTCCGAAGAGACCTGAAAGTGGGCACATGGGCGCAGAGTGTGGGCGATGGAGATCAGCAGCAATGGAGGCCCCGTACAGGGACCCAGTGAAGAGACTCTGGACTTGGCAGGCAGCATGAGATGCGGTCTATGTGAGGGCCCTTGCCACAGATTTAGGGGCCTGGCAGCACTATTGTGAGTGCACCGCCACCCGATCCTGCCTGCACCCTATGTCAAAAAATTAAACAAGACCACGCATTGTTGAAGAGAGACTCTGAAGTTTGCACATGGCAGCAGAGTGTGGCGATGGAGACAGCACAATGGGAGGCCGTACATGGACCCATGAAGGCTCTTGGACTTGGCAGCAGCAAGAGGAGGCGGTATATAGGGGCCCATGGCAGATTATGGGGCCTGGCAGCAGCTATGTGAGGCCCACATAATCTGCACTCGCACCCTATGTCAAAAAAATGTTTAACAACACCAGCAGTGTGAAGAGACCTGAAAGCTGGCACATGGCAGCAGAGTGGGCATGGAGACAGCTAGCAATGGGAGATGCCGTACAGGGACCCATGGGAGAGACTCCTGGGACTTGGCAGCAGCAATGAGGAGAGCTGTAATACTAGGTGCCCATGGCAGATTAGGGGGGCCTGGCAGCAGCTATGTGAGACCCGTAATCTGCCCTGACAACCCTATGTCAAAAAAAATTTAACACACCAGATAGTGTGACGAGACCTGGAAAGTGGCACATGGCAGCAGAGTGTGGCGATGGAGACAGCAGAATGGGAGGACCGTACAGGGAACCCATGAAGAGGACCTCTGTACTTGGCAGCCAGCATGAGGAGGCGGTATTATAGGGGCCCATGGCAGATTAGGGGCCTGGCAGCAGCTATGTGGAGGACCCGATAATCTGCCCTGTTGCACCCTATGTCAAAAATAGTTAATAACACACCAGCAGAGCGTGAGGAGGGACCTTGAAAGTGGCACATGTTTGAGGGCATGATTCATGTCGGAATTAGTCAGATTGTGGTCAGGATCTGGTGGTTTGAAAATCCAGACTAATCCACGCCTGATTCAATATCACAAACGAGAGTCCCCTCCTCACACTTTGGGGTGGAACAGACCGTGTCCTCCCGCGGAGTTTAACAATAACCTCCTGCCCGCACTAAACACGCGCTCCGATGCCAACGCTACTTAGGATCCACCTGCCGGGCATACAGCCTTTCAAGGGCAAAATTCAGCTAGTAGGGGCCAAAGGTCAAGTTTCGTTGCCCAGTAGTCCAAGGGGATTGTCTACACTCGGTTGGCCAGGGTGCTGTCCAAGTAGGCCAAGCCTGTTTGTTTGAGCTCCGCTGCTCCAGGTCCACCTGATGCTGCTGCTGCTGCTGCGGCTGGTTAGTAGTTTCTCATCACTGCCGCTGGTGAAGAAAGCTACTCATCATCGACTGCAGACTGAGGCAGCCACTGCTGGTGGAGGCTGCCACTGCTCCTACCACCCCACCCCTCCCCTGCCTGCCATGCCAGCGAACGCGAGCGCACAGGCCCACAGTGTCCTGAGGATGGACGTTGGCGCACAAAGCAGAGGACCAACTGACTACATAGGTGGTTTTTATAGTACGTAATTTTGGCCTACCCTCTCAGCAGGAGAGAAAAAGGCGCACCAATTTTTGGACCGTAGCGAGGGTCCACACAAGGTGGACAGCCAAAAGTCATCCCTCTGCTGTCTGATGGTTATTAATTCGGCCCCTGTCGCTGACGGCAAGCAACCCGAGCATGCTATGGGCCATTTTGTGCAAGGAATGCGATGGACTTCCTCCCTGGCCTTCCATATCTCACAGCATACTGCCACGGTGCGTCTGGGTCCTCTGTCTCCTCCTCCATCCTCCTCTAACCAGATGCTCCTGCTACCTCCACGTCCTGTCCGCTGAGTGGAAAAAACCACCCATTTCACTCAATTAATTCCCCTGAGCACAAATGTCCTCCTCACTACCCTCCTCCTCTTCTTCCCAGATCCTGGCCCCCACAGGGGTCATGTGGCGTTGAGATCTGTGCGCCAACGTCTACCTGCACCCTGACCATCCAATTGATAACAGCATTTGTTCCAGGACGTGCAACAGAGGAATGACGTCCGTTCATCCCCATAGTCCTGCCCGACTCACGAATAAGCGTGGCCTCCTCAAAGGGCCCTGAAGCCAAGCGGCAGGTGTCACACGCATGAGCTGGCCAATGGCTGGACATCTAAGTTACACAGGGGAGTAACCTTTTATCCGCTTGTAACAATCAGGAAATTCGGTGATGGCCCTTCTCGCTGCTTCGTAAAGGCGTCCTAAACATGTGTAGGGTTAGAATTCACACCCATGTTGCAACGTCGCAGATCAGCGCGATGGCTGTGTGAATCTCCGTTCATGGCCGCTGCAGCTCAATGAGGGTGTTCTTTGCGGTGTAGGAAATGGCTGAAATGCATGCCACATAGTTTACGTGAACATTGTAGAAGGATGTCTTGCAAGATGGGATGGTGGAATTTAGGAAACCGCTTGACAACCAGATTGAACACGTGAGCCATGCATGGCGCATGGCACAACCTTCCCCTTGGGGACGCAGAGCAACACCCATAGTTCCTTCTCCGTTGTCAGTCACATGGATCCCGATTTTTAGTTTGGCGCAGTAGTACAGCCATCTGTCGATTTCTCTGTATCATTACACTCAGCAGTTCCATCCCCTGTGTGACTAGGAAAGACGTTTTCGCCAAGGGCATACCAGGGTGTCAAAGCACAGCGTGACATCCCGTTGCGCCCTGCACATGTGATATGCCGGGTCGGGGTTGGTGGTGGAGGCTTAAAGATGTACAAGGCACGGGGGTGGCGGCCTGAGGACAATACCGGCGGAAAAAGAGGTTGGTAGAGGGCGGACATGCTTGCTGGACCAAGGGAACGAGCAAACGTTGGAGGCAAAAAGCGTCGTGAACCTGACCAAGAATGCTGGTCGCGGCTGTGCCGGCACCACGTTCAACCCATTGGTGCCGTAAATGAACATGTACTGTCCCTGACCCGAAGTTACAAGCTCCACACGTCGGCGCTGCCGAGTAGACACTTTAGCAGAGACCTGACATGCTCAAAGACTGGCCCACCATCTCTTCTACATGGTGAAATGCAGGGCTGGCAACTGCCTTTTTGGGCAAATAAATCGACGGCTTGGCATCTCTCCACCGCAGTCGCGGCACAAGCCATCATTTTTCTCGGAAAGGTTCATGAGTCCACCAGTTGGAAAGGGAGGGACTAGCAGCACCATCAACTTGGACAGGAAGGGACGTTCAGCTTTTTGCAACCGTCGGGGTGCGTGCACGCAAAAACCTGTTGTCTCTTGGGATAGCGGATTCCAAGAAAGACTGTTGACGGAATCCTGAGAGTAGGAGTAGCAGGAGAAGGAGCATCTGAACGAGCGGAAGATGCCAATGAGCGACAACTCCGCTCCCTCAGCAAGAGGAGTTTGGTAGCCTTGACTGGTCTGATAGAGGAGCGATTGACAGACGTCGGGTGACGGAGCAATTTAACGGAGCGGGGTTGATGGAGCGGGGGCTGGGGCAGCAGGCAGAACCGCCGTATGTTTATCAACGGTTTTTTTCCCAGGCCGACCGAGAATCGGTGACCGCTGCATATGCTGACGCAAACGCTGTAGTCCCCCAACATGGACCCCCTGGCCACGCTTGCCATATTCTGGCCACATAGTCGAACATACGACGGCTATCGTTTTACATCCTCGTGCGCTTAGAGAAAAATTGGCCACACCACCGAGTCGGAAACACTTGCCCCCGCTTACTCTTCAAACTGGCTGACTGCCTACTTCACCTCCGTGCGCCACGCGGGCACCACTACACTGGCCGTGGTGTAGGCTGCAGTGAAGCTGGTGCTCTACTCCGTGGTACGTTAGGCTTCCACTGACCACTGATGCGACCTGCTAGCTGCTGTCTCCTGGGCAACCCACCGACTGTTTTGCTCGCTGCCGAAGCTGCCCACCCGTCATCTCCCTGATGATGCGGAAGAAATTGCCGATGATGACGACGAGGCTGCCAAGTGCGATCAACCTCCTCATCATCAAGTAGGGTCTCCCGCCTCACTACTAGCCCCCTCTCGGCTGCGCGCTGGGATCAGGAGACAGACCTGTCTCTAGACCGCTATACCGAGCCACTCTCCATCTCTCCTCGCCAGTACTTGTTCGCTTGGCTGCTGAAAAGGCCGATGTCTCATCCCCCCGTTCCTGACCGCCCTCTGTTAGCTCTTCCTCACTGTACAGTGGGGCTGAGCCCACAGCATGCCGATACTTCGCTTGGTGAGGGAACAGCAAAAGGACAGGGGCAGGCGTAGAGCGAACACTCGTTATTCAGTAGGGCTTTGTCCCGGGCCATGCCAACTAACGTGTTGTGTCTGACGTACCCACCGACCGTATGGCTGTAGGTGTCAGAGTGACCTGGGAAGACGGAAGACGAACCGAGCCAACCAATCAATGACGGCAGGGTTGTCGGTGGAGACACGACCGCTGATGGATACACACCGGGAGCACTGGCCTCTGGCTGCGAATACAGCTGCCTGCCTCGACCCCCTTCCGTCCTCTGCATGCAACGTCTGCTCGCTCCTAAAACATTGCCTCCTCTGCCACTCCTCTGCATGTTGTCTGACATACTATTTAATTCAACGATTCATGGTGTCCCCCTGAGTAACAATTCCTCTGTGCACCAGTAACAATTCTGTGTCTGTGCTTTCTGTCCACTGAGTAAGAATACTGTGGCCCTGAGTAACAATTCTGTGTCTGTGCGAGTAACAATTCTGTGTCTGTGTGCGAGTAACAATTCTGTGTCTGTGCAAGTAATCCAATTTTGTGTTCTGTTCGAGTAACAATTTGTCTCTGGCACACTCAGTATAACAATTCCAGTCTGTGGCCCCTGAGTAACAATTCCTCTGGCACTCAGTAACAATACTGTCAGTCCTCTGGTGTGCTAACAATTCTCTGTCACTCAGTAACAATTCTGTGCTGTCCCCTGAGTAATGAATTCTGTGGGCCCTGAGTATCAATTCTGTGCGCTGAAGCGAGTAACAATTTCTGTTCTGTGTCAAGTTAACCAATTTTGTGTCTGTGCGAGTAACAATTCTCTGGCACCTCAGTAACTAATTCTGTCTGTGCCTGAGTAACAATTCTCTGGCACTCAGTAACAATTTGTCTGTCTGTTCCCTGAGTAATGAAATTCTGTGGCCCTGAGTAACAATTCTGTGTCTGTGCGAGTAACAATTCTGTGTCTGTGCAAGTAACAATTTTGTGGTCTGTGGCGAGTAACAATTCTCTGGCACTCAGTATAACATCGTTCTGTCTTGTTCCTGAGTAACAATTCTCTGCACTACTCAGTAACAATTCTGTCTGTCCCAGAGTAAACAATTCTCGTGGCACTCAGTAACAAGTTCTGTCTGTCCACCTGAGTAACAATTTCTCTGGCACTCAGCTAACAATTCTGTGTCTGTGCGAGTAACAATTCTGTGCTGTGCAAGTAACAATTTTGTGTCTGTGCGAGTAACAATTCTGTTGGCCCCAAGTACTCAAACATTCTGTCTGTCCCTGAGTA